CTCCAACTTTATCAATTATGGTACTTTGGGGTTACACTTTGTAAAAGTTTTGTTTAGTTCTGATGAAGGGATATCATTTCATGATATTATGTGTTTTTATGCAACTGCAATAGGCAAAATAATCAAAACACGTGACTGAAAATTGTTATTTCAAGCCTGTACATCCATAAACATGATGAGGACTTGATGAAATTTGTCTCAATTGTTGTCCTATCTGACCCACACCAACTAATAGTCCGACAGCCCCATCTGCATGTTCATTACCTCCACCCCAAACAGCTTCTACTCAAAACAGTCTCTGCATCATTTCTAGATTTGTAAAACATCTACAGTACAACTTCCTGGACAGGTTAGTGCATAATGACATCATGCATGTGAATGTGGTTAGACTACAGAGAACAGATCAGGTTTTTCTTTGTTTGTTTTGTTTTTTCCATCAACAAAATATTTTAAATAATTTCAAAGTCACTTCTCATATAAACACCAGAACATCTTAAACAGCCACAACCCGAATGCGAGTTCTGGTGCGTGGGTGCTTTGCGTGTGTGCGGGGGTCATATGAGGTATCTAGGTTATTGAGCTGTTTGGACGTCCTGAAGAAAATTAAAGTGAAATTCAGAGTGACTTAATAARCTTTTATTCATAGAAAAAACAATGTTGTGATTTGATTTTAACCGTAGCGAGAGTTGGCGAGGCAGACCCACGGCATCATCGAGTATTACTGCAAGCTGCTGGAGGAGGAAGGAGCTCCTCAGCTGCGCACCGCCCTCTGCATCGGAGGGATGTCTGTGAAGGAGCAGATGGAGGTGGTRAAACAGTGAGTACTCCTTATTGTCTTGAAACAGGAAACTGAAGCAGCATCACAGGCTCTGCTGAGAAGTTTTTTTATTTTATTTTATTTTTGTTTATGTCTTCCTTGCTCTAGTGGTGTCCACATGATGGTTGCCACCCCTGGAAGACTGATGGACTTGCTGCAGAAGAAGATGGTCAGTCTGGATATTTGTCGCTACTTGGCTCTTGATGAAGCGGACAGGATGATCGACATGGGTTTTGAAGAAGACATCAGGACCATCTTCTCATACTTCAAGGTGAGCTACAGGGACAGGACTTTAACTTTCAGTATCTGTAGGGTCGGTTTTATTAATCTCTGATGACACATTGTGAGTTCCTCACCACGAATTGAAGGTTTTCTTCTAAAGAAAAACATAGTTATCTATATTTATCTTGTTTGACAAATCATCTGACAGTTTCATTCACATGAAGGTCCTGTGGAAAGCTAATGAGCAAATAGTATCTAACCTGTTGTAGACAGCTTATTAAAATACCTAATTTTGAAGAAATACAAGTAATTTTTGATCAGATCAATGATCTAACTTTGAATCTAAGATTATGTTCAGGTTATACAGTACAACTTTATTTATAAAGCACAACATTGTTAGCCAAAGTGCTTTTGCAGGTCTTAATGCTCAATTCAGATTTTTTTGCTTAAACCCAGATTTTTTTAAATATTTTTTTCCATGGTCGTTCACATTAAAAAGTCAGTTTTGTTTTATTCCACAGTATTTTATAAAGGATGGTAATGAAATTTATGACCAGAATGAAATTGTGGATGGTTTTAATAATTATTTTGTAAATGTTGGTCCAAGTCTTGCAGCAAAAATACAAAAAGTAGATAAAATTGTGAGTCACACAGTTATGGATTGTACCAACAGTATTTTTCTTTATGAAACTGACAAAGAAGAAATATTGAGTATTGTAAGAAATCTTGCTGACAAAAGATCTAGAGACTGGGTAGACATGGACATGATGCTTGTAAAAGATATAATGAATTMTGTGATTGAACCGTTTACATAAATCTGTAATTTATCATTTTCAACTGGTACATTTCCTGACAATATGAAAACAGCCAAGGTAATTCCTCTTTTTAAAAATGGTGAGAAACGTGTTCAAAAATTACAGACCAATATCCTTGTTACCACAGTTTTCTAGATCAAATTATCGAAAAACATAATAGTCATTAGTAGTCAGTATGGGTTYAGAGCTAAAAAATTCCACATCAATGGCTCTTATGGAATTTATGGAACAAATAAAAACTGCTATCGATCAAAAACAGTAGGGATGCACCAATATAAAAATTTCAGCCGATATCGATATCCGATATAATTATTGGTGTTATGGCCGATAACCGATATTTACCGATATTACACAAACATA